ATAAATTTCCAGGTGACTATTGATTTTTCTGCATTCTGATTGGTCAAGATTCACTGTCTCTGAAGTGATAGTCACTGGTCAGTGACTATAGCTTTTTTTCAAAATGGCTGCTCGTTTTGCCGTAGTAACAGAAGAGGAAATTGCCAAAATTAAAGAAGATAGCATTCCGAAAAAACCCAAACAAGCTACAAAATATGGTTTAAAAATATTTCAAGGTAAAATAGTAAACTTTACGTGCTTTTATTTGGAGAAAAACTGGCTTAGTCGCAACGCGAAACAGAGCCGTGCCTGAGATTTAAATTTTGTAAACAAACTATTTATAGTGAAAATAAATTTATTTGAAGTGAATTTTTATAAAGTTGTGTGGATTATTGTTTGTAAACACCTGGAAATTTATACTAAAACAATTAGTCGCCTCAGGCTCGGTGATTACAAGCCTATATTCACTTCGCCTTCGGCTCAGTGAATATAGGCTTGTAATCACCTCGCCTTCGGCGACTAATTGTTAAATATGCTTTACCAGGTATCCAATATTATCATGCGAGAAAAATACTGTAAAGGGATATGGTTAGCTAATTTACTCATAAATTACTAATGCGTTTGAGATTAAAGAGTTTGGATTATAAGAGTTATAAGAATAGCCAGGAAAGCATTGGACTGAAGACTTTAAGGTTACAGGACACCCCTTTTGGCGTTTTGCGGAAAATCGCTACTGCGCGCTCAATATCAGTCCGATTTTCATCAAATTTTCACCAAATGTTCTCCAGTGCATGCAAAATATGGTAAAGTTGTAAAATTAACAAACAATAAAATAATGTGAGCATTATTCAAGAAAATCTTAAATCGCTGTACCGTTACGCTTTTGAGTTGTGCTCCTGCTGGTTTTAAGTTATATTTATGAAAATATCATTTTTGTATAGGTAATCACACGGGAAGGAGTGCAATTAATGATTAACACACCGAGTGATATTTGAAAAATGTGCCAAAATTGCACGAGCCGCCGAGGCGAGTGCAATTTGGCACATTTTTCAAATATCACGAGTAGTGTTAATCATTAATTGCACGACTTGCCCGTGTGATCATTTATTTATTATATGCATGACAAAATCGCTTTCTTTATATTTCAACTGCATTTGTCAAGAGTTTTTAATTCTTTTGTAAGCAATTTGGTATAAACAAACTTGGGAAATGATTATAAACTCATAAAGGCACATAACTTAAACTAGACAAGATTCAAACTCAAACAACATATTTTAGACTAAGAAAATCTTTATAAATTGTATTTCAAACTTACATAGTCACGTTTCGCTGCATCCCGCCAAGATTATTTCTTAAGACTGTTTCCAGGTATTTTCCACATGCTCTCTTTGCCATACAATGTTTCTTAAACTCATTTTTGTGCCAAAATTCAGTTAAATTCGTCCACATTTGTTAGAAATACTTATCTAAATTTCGCCGCCATATTGGATTTTGTTGTTTTGATTCCCGCTCCCCCCAGCCATCACGAAAATCATTATTAAATTGCACTCCTGGAGATACCCTAGCCTGCATGGCAGGCGGTATTTCTACGGGCAGCGAAAATTAGGGAAGCAAAGGAAATACCGTCTGCCGCAAAACTAGGGGTTTTTGAATTACCCGTCCGCTGGTGAACGGGAAAAACGGATTGGTTAGTATTTTTATGTAGTTGTCAATCAACGGCTAAATTCGGTTAAATGTTAATCATTAGAGACCTTAAGATTGACGTTTACGGCAAACGTCAAACCGCTAGCGAAGTTTTTGATTTTACAACTCTATTATAATAGCTTTTACACCAGTTTTGAAATATGTTAAACTTATTAAACTTGTGCTCTTTAGCAATGATTTAAGAAAGCAAATTAACCACTAGTCATGCCATTCACCAAAGCAGTAAATTAAGACTTGGCGTTTGAAGTTGACGTTTGGCGTATAAATTTCATGCTTTAACGACTACAAGCCCTCGTAGCAGTTCAAGCAT